AGAAGGAAATGAAGATTCTTTTCTGTTCTGTATTATTACAATAGATTCATAATTAGGAAGAGAAGTGGAGAATAAGTAATTATTCCTGGGTAAAAATAACTTCCAATAGCTTCTACTTAGATATTTTATAGTCCTTTTTTCAGCTTAAATGTTTATCCTTGATGTTTTATTGATATATTACCTGTTCAGAATAGTCAACCAAGTTATTTTCTTGATCTTTAATCACAGTATTTTTCTGTCATTTATACCTATCTCTCTCTGCACTTGACAGTTGTCCTTAATAGACAAATGTTTAATGGTTGATAAGATACTAACTATTGAAGTGTATATTTATTTGTATGTAAATTGCAAAAAGAAATTAAGTACGCTGTATGTTCTTCCCTGGCAGTTTCATGTTGTAAAAAATGTTCTTAGTTGGTAACTTTATTTATTACCACAAAGATTTATTGCCATTAAAGCATTGTTTTCCTTGTCAGGTGCTCTGTTTTATGTGATTTTTCTTTTTCAGAGTGTCTGTCGCTAATACTAATACCTTTTTTATTATAAGGTGTGCCTTCAGGTAAAGTGTCTTCAGTTGGCAGCTCTTTGGGAAACAAACTTCAGACTTTATCTCCCTCCCATAAAGGGATTGCAGCTCCTTACATAGGGTAAGTCTACATTAAATTTAATTTATTAGTGATATATATATTTATATTTATATTTATATTTATATGTGATACATATATATATATGTGTGTGTGTGATACTAAGGTTTTTATTTTGTTTAGATAATTGGCCTTTTATTGACCTTCATTTTCCTTCTAAGTGCATTTGTCTTACATACTGCTGATGGGAGCACACACATTGCTGTTTAGGATCTAGATTACTATAACCATTTTGGAAAAAAATCTGATGGTATTTATCAAGAACCTTAAAAACATTTGTATTTTCAACAGCAGCAGACTCACAGACTCCAAGAAGGGACTAGCGGTTACCAAAGGGAAGAGGTTGGAAGGGTGGGTGGGGAGGAGGGAGAAGGGGATTAAGGGGCATTATGATTAGCACACAAAATATAGGTAGGTCACAGGGAAGGCAGTACAGCACAGAGAAGACAAGTAGTGACTCTATAGCATCTTACTATGCTGATAGACAGTGACTGCAGTGGGGTGTCAGGAGGACTTGATAATATGGGTGAATGTTGTAACCACAGTGTTGCTCATGTGAAACCTTTATAAGTTGTATATCAATGATACCTTTAAAAAATCATATTTTCAATGGAATAATTTTACTTCTGGGAGTCTAAAGACATGGAAGATTTTTGTTAATTGCAATAATTTATTAAGCATTATGTAACAGGCACTGTGCTAGATATTTTACATATATTTTTATTAAAAACACCCACTGCTGTAGGATGAGAGAAGAGAGAAGCAAAGTAATTTGCTCAAAGTTACATAGCTATTAAGAGTTGGAAGCAGTATACACATTGGAGTCTTTTTCATTCTAAACTGGTTTCTTTTGATAAGTTTTATATAATGTAGAAAATAAAATAAAATCACCTAAATGCCTATCTAGCTTTGTTTGAATAGCAAATTTTGCAAATCTACAAAGGGATATTATTCAACCATAAAATATATAAATTTTAAAAAGATGATTCTGCTATAATAGAAAAATGTAGAATATAATGTCTATGTATACTTTGAAAAAACCTATAAAAATGTGTGGACAGCAATATGCTGAAATATTAATGGTGGGTGATTCTCTTATTTAATATTTTTAAAATAATTTTTATCTTTCTACAGTTTTATATACATGGCTTTAAATAAAGTAGCATAATTAAGCTTCCAAAAATTATTTATTAATGTGGGAAAATTTGTTTATAACACTAGAGTTTTTAATAGTAGTTCCCCTATCCACTATAAACTTTCTCTTCCATTTTGATAATCAGAAAATTAAGGGGTTGTCACATGATCATTAGAATGAGTGTTTATGTCTGTATCTTTTCAGATACTACAAAAGTTTATTTAGGAAATATAGCACACATTATTTTCAGATACAGTTTATCACTTCAGTCTTTATGTAGCAAATATATACAAGGATATCTATCTAGTGAAAGTAACTGCCATTTGTTTCCTAATTTGGACTTTATAGAAAATGCAGGGCCTAAAAGGAGTTTAATTTTCATTGTAGAAAAAGAAAAAAAATAAACTACCAAGATCTCATTAGTTAAGTGTTTTTTCTTTTTCTTATGCTTTCAAAAAAGAAGAGATAGTCTATCCTTAAGAAAGAGATAGGTTACCAGTAGAACAGGTGGTTGAAAAGTAAAAGGTTCTCATCTTCTGCTAAAAAAAAAATTCTTTTTTTTTGGCTTCTCCACTGAGTTTGACTCGTTGGATATTTAAAGTATAGATATAGCAATATGTGTTCAAAGTTTACAAAGCCTTTTTACTGTATCACAAAGAATTGCCTTCCATGTTAAATTAAATTCCATGTTTGTAGAGTAATTTACAGTTGAGTAATTTACAGTTGAGTATGCATTAAAAGCTGATTTTTTGTAGCCCCTCTCCTGTCATACTCATGATATTATCAGTTGGCAATATTAAGTTGTATTGACACCCTCTCCTATCTATAGGACATACAAAGCTGGTTGGTAATGGAAAGGGGCACTGACTGAATTAGAAAACAGGCTCCTGATCCTACTGTGTTGATAAGTAGCTATGTAACTTGATGCATTTCTTTTCTCTGTCACACTTGCATAACATTCTGTGGCTCTGCTTAGACCCTGACAACAGATCTAAGAAAATCTGACCATTCATATGATCCCTAGGAGAAAATAGGGATTATACTAATACTCAAAGACTTTGAGCAAAGTAATTTTATAAGTTATACTCTGCTTGTAATGCAGATTTAAAATTTCTGGTTGTTCACATCATAGTAAACTGTCAACTATTTAAATCCCATTTGTCTATTTTATGTACTATCCTTATGTGTTAGAAGAATGTTTTCAGTTATTGGAAAGAGAGCAGTAGTGTTTGCTTCTGGCCAATATATTACTATATTAACTAGAATATTACTAAGTCACTATTAAATAGAACCATTCATGGCTGTCTGTTTAGCAGCAAAGTTCATTTCTTTTTTTTATATTTATTGAGGTAATAGTTTGTCTTTTGTTCTTGCTAGATGGTAAGGTCTGTGATGGCAAAGCTCTGTGTCTGCCTTGCTCACAGATGTAACTTCAAAATGTAGTAAAATGCCTGGTATATACACAATAAGTTTTTGGTAAATAAATGAAAAAAATAATGAATTAATAGATTAAATCCCTCATTTGTCAACCTGGAGGCATATTATAGAATCATGGTCCTGGTATTTGTGGGATAATTGCAGTTTGTATGGCAACCATTATTTCTGTTAACACATATAATTCAGGATTGAGGAAGGGTGGAATTAAGACATCTGGGGAGTTATAGTGTTCAAGAAATTGAGCATCTTCTGAGATTTAGTGAAATGGTGTCATTTCAGTGACTCGGGATTATTTAATGCTTGGTGTATATAACCTTCTTGTGGTCAGTTTAATTATGCATACCAGTGATCTCTAATATTTAGCACATTTGAGTCATATCACAGAAAAATGTATCATTTTACTTGGAAATATTCATATGTATGCTTATCAACTTCTAAACAACTCATGAGTCAACCTGTTTTAATGGATTTTTTTTAAGCAAAATATAACCATAGTGGAAGGATTTTCCCTTTTTCTAAAAGATGATTATTTTTAATCCTAGGACATTTAGAAGTATGATGAAACACAGTCTTTAAGTAAATATTGCCACATTTGATTGTATCACTAAGTTTACATAGTCATGCCTTGATAATTGTGTTTTTATAATGGTTAATTACCAGCTTAAGTGGTTATTTCAGCTGATAATTTTTAATAGCTAAAATAACAAGTTTCAGATTTAGTTCTGTTTAGTTACTGAAAAACAGACATTTACTTTGGAGATAGGCTATAATAGATGTGTTAAAACTAAAGCAACATAATGCATGTAAGGAGTATTTCTGAATAAAAAGGTTGAATTTGGTTTCTCATCCCTTAATAATATTAGCAAAAGTAAGAAATAAATGTCTAGTTTTTAAAGTATATTTTTATATGAGGGCAAACAGGCTTTTCTCATAAGCCAATCTTTTGATGTGTATGAACTGAGTTGGTGTGGAGCATTATTTAGATTTTTATGTTTCTTTGTCTTCTATTATTGATCTAGAAATGCCTGAAACAACCTACAATTGCAAAGTTTGCCTTCTTAGTGGATAACAATGATTGAGGCTATTCAACTAGGGAAGCTAACATTGCCATGGAATTGAGATACTAAATTATCTGTATAGGATTGATGAGTTTAGGATCATAAGTGGAAGTATGACACATTTTAAAACTTTGAATACCTTATAACATTATAACTATGGAGATCTACAAAGTTATAAAATACCACCTGGTAAATTTTTTCCCAATATTATTTCATAGTCATCTTTTTATTATATCCACATTCCTTGCTACAGTCTTACAAGACTAAGTAGTTTATTGCCTAATGAATTCACTCTCATGGTATCAACAGTATACAAGGACCTTACCTAGGTTAAAGTTTATTTTGAATTAGAAATAGGTTGCTATTTCTGCAAATATTTATTACAGTGAATTCCTATTTAGCTATTACTATTGCGAAAGCCTGCCAAAGTACTATTCCTTTTTAGTTATACTATTCATATTATAGTAGTTATATGCAACTATAGGTAGTATAAATTTAAAAGTCTTGGTCAAAATAGAATAGTTTATCACCTATAGAAGTGTGTTAGCTTGACAAAAGTAATATATTTTTGTCTGGGATCACAGGGTAATGTAGTCATATTTCTCATACCATTTCATATATGGTAAAATTTAAAACATCATTGAAATCTACCTTTGATTAAGATCTTCAAGATCTTAAAATACTAGCTTCTGCCTATATGGAATATTGATACTTTAAAGAAGGTGACCTTTTTGAACTATGGCACAAGGGGCAAATCCTGTAGTAGAGAGAGTTTTCCTGGTTCCTATACTCATTTTATTCCCTTCCTTAAGTCAGTTATTAATGATTTGCATGACCAAGAAAGACAGAAGAAACATCAAAGAGCAACCATCTGGGTTGAAGCCTTTAAATTCCTTTTGAAAATGTCACTCTGCTTTTGCAAAGATCTAGTTTCTTTCCAAATATTCCTTTATTTTGTGCTTTGATTTATCTTTAGTGCTACTGAACTCTGAGAGACAAAAAAGAAGGGATTTGATAGAAAAGGGGATGTGAGCAAGGAAGCGTTCATGTTCAACAAAATAAGTATGAAGAATGTACATAGGAAGTGGTCTGTTGTACCTTACAATCTAGGTTAGTTTAGGGACAGATTTAAATATGTGAAAGGTCTTTCATATATTAATAATTCTAAAATTTAATTATCCCAACATTGAATATTGTGTGGTATTTAAAAATGTTTATATAATCATTTTGTATATAGAAATATATTTAAATATATAAATGTATATAAATATATTCACATAAACATTTAATTTATAAAAATTACATGAAATAAATGTGTATATATTACACTTTTATATATTATATAATCTTGATTACATTATTGTGGTTCACAA